TAAGGTGGAACTCACAAGCCTGTGTTGCGACAGTCGCAGGAGGACGCCGCTCAGACCAGAGGCTATTGGTATCACAGGCAGCGTTCCGAATGTTTTATTTTAGTTAACGTGTCATACGTGTCAGTTTACCTAATTGATCGGCATTTTTACGCCTTTCTGTTCTCTTTAATTTTCACCGCGGACACCATCACACGCAGCTACAGGAATAAAGACATTTTCTGCTCGTCAGACTTTCAGACTTGACGTGTACCGTTGCTCCCATATTCAGATCGCCCGCACCTCTTCTACAGTCCTATGTTTACCACGTATTCTATAGACCAGCAAAGTGTTTGGTGAACATTAAAATGGTATAAAATACCGACAGGTTATTAGGTTGCATATGTGTCTTACCTAACACAGTGTTTGGTCTCCAGGTGAACTATTGTCTTAACATTCTTTTTATTAAGACAACAGTTTGCTATATCATTACCCTTTTTATGCCCATCATTAATTATTATTATTATTGTTACTAGTATTACTATGATATACCTATTAGTGATTTCGAGTTATTCCACCCTCGCAGCCCGGTGTAGTCAGCCTTTTCTGTTGTGTGTCTGTTCATCCAGGCTGTTGCTGTCGATGGGCATCTGGCCCAGCACTTCGCTGAGGTACCGACGCGGTTTCCTCTTGAAGACTTCCTCACTAGTTCCGGCAGCATTTCTGCTATCTGCTTGTAGCAGGCTGAAAAATCTTGGGCTACGGATATTGACCAGCAGGGCCCAATTTTTCACTGTTTCTGCTTTGCACTTCCTGTAGTCGTTGTTACAGTTGTTTCTTATTGTTGTAAAAGGAATGTTAACATGAACTATTAGCAAAGTTCGTATTGAATATCTGTAGGAGTTTACAAGTCACATGTCATTTTATATGCATAATACAAAAAAGAGAGGCCAGAAATCCTGCCAGAGTGCAAAACATTTAACAGGATTCCCTTCCACATTCACGGCCTAAGAGGGTTGTACCTTTGTGAGTGGTTGCTGACCGCTTTTCACCGATCTTTGACAAGTAGGATGCATGTGTAATACTTGGGTCTCTTTAATGCCAAAATGTTTCGCCAGTGCTGGAGGTCTCGAATACAAGCGATTATTATACCGAAAACAATAGAAGGAAGTTTGAAATGATTAGGACCTGCCTGCCTCGCAGGCGAAGTGTTTCAGCAAAAACGCTTGAGTGAAATATTGAAATCCCAGTACGACTCTGAGTTTAATGAACCACTAATCGGTCTGAGGATCGACGACCCAAATGATTTCTTCATGAATGAGCCTCAGAACTCCATAAATGTACGCCAGATTTCCGACATTACCCTAACTCCGATAGATTTCGAAAAAGCCATTGACAACATGCCCATGCACTCAGCCCCGGGCCCAGACTCGTGGAACTGTTTTCATTAAGAACTGCAAGAAACCCCTCTCGCGTGCCCTAAGTACACTATGGAGGAGGAGCTTGGACATGGGTGAAATTCCACAGTCACTTAAAACAACGGATATAGCCCCACTCCATAAAGGTGGCAGCAAAGCATTAGCTAAGAACTATAGACCAATAGCTCTGACGTTCCACATCATAAAAATCTTTGAAAGAGTGCTAAGAAGCAGGATTGCAAATCACCTGGATTCCCAAAATCTGCACAATCCAGGGCAACATGGGTTCCTGCCCCTCACAACTACTGGATCACTATGATATGGCCTTGGATGCACTGGAAGAAAATCAGAATGCAGATGTAATATACATAGACTTTGCAAAAACATTTGACAAATGCGATCATGGCGTAATAGCCCATAAAATACGTGCTAAAGGAATAACTGGGAATCCTGTGATACTCCAATACTGAAACTAAGTACTGTGCCAAAACAAAAGCATTCACATTGCTAAACTCACAAACTAGTATTTAGTCACTTAGCCATAATACCAACTTACCTCATAATTTGTAATATTTTACAATTAAGAATAAAACTAAGTCTGCCCGAAATGCCTAGCCATGCTAAGCGTTCTAGTGGTACACTCTGTAATCACAATTTTACTACATGTAAACCACACAATAACCAAATTTCTGTAAACTCAGCATTGTAATCCTTATAGAGAATAAACTTTGAATTTGAATTTGAATTTGAAAGTGGGGAGATGGATCTTCAACTTTCTAACAAATCAAACACAAAGAGTAGTGGTCAACAGAGTTAAATCGGAGGCTGCCATAGTGAAGAGCTCTGTTCCACAAGGCACAGTACTCGCCCCCATCTTATTCCTTATCCTCATATCAGACATAGACAGAGATATACATCACAGCACCGTATCATCCTTTGCGGATGATACTAGGATCTGCATGAGGCTGTCATCTGCTGAGGACGCGGTTAACCTCCAAGAAGATATAAACAAAGTTTTTCAGTGGGCAACGGTAAACAATATGATGTTCAATGAGGACAAATTCCAACTACTCCGTTATGGAAAACTGGAGGAGATAATAACTAGAACAGAGTATACTACTGACTCCGGCCATACAATAGAGCGGAAAAATAATGTAAGGGACCTGGGAGTAGTAATGTCTGAGGATCTCACTTTCAAGGATCACAACAGCGCCACGATCGCACGTGCAAAGAAAATGATAGGATGGATAATGAGAACGTTCAAAACGAGAGATGTCAAGCCAATGATGATCCTTTTCAAATCACTTGTTCTCTCTAGGCTGGAATACTGCTGTACATTAACATCTCCATTCAAAGCAGGTGAAATCGCAGATCTAGAGAGTGTACAGAGATCCTTTACTGCACGTATAAGTTCTGTCAAGCACCTTAACTACTGGGAACGTTTGGAAGCACTTGACTTGTACTCGTTGGAACGCAGGAGGGAGAGATATATCATAATCTACACTTGGAAAATCTTGGAAGGAATGGTCCCAAATCTGCACACAGAAATCACTCCCTACGAAAGTAAAAGACTGGGCAGGCGATGCAAAATGCCCTCAATAAAAAGTAGGGGCGCCATTGGTACACTAAGGGAAAACACCATAAGTGTCCGGGGCCCAAGACTGTTCAACAGCCTCCTATCAAGCATTAGGGGACTTGCCAATAAACCCCTGGCTGCCTTCAAGAGAGAGCTGGACAGATACCTAAAGTCAGTACCGGATCAGCCGGGCTGTGGCTCGTACGTTGGACTGCGTGCGGCCAGCAGTAACAGCCTAGTTGATCAAGCCCTGATCCATCGAGAGGCCTGGTCATGGACCGGGCCGCGGGGGCGTTGATCCCCGGAATAACCTCCAGGTAACCTCCAGGTAAGTGTTGTACTACATGTGTCTTATTAACCAAAGTGTCGTTACTACATACCATCACTAATAAGCTCACCGATCTCTCGTCCGTCGCTCATCGGTCAACCCCAGCTACCCATCGACCATCCATCAACCCACCCACCTATCCACCGACCATCCATCAATTCAGGCGGGCACGTCTTATCGTGCTGAGGGCCCATAGCGTGCAGCACTGAAGGGCAGATAGCCAGCTGGGACGATGTAAGCCACAAGGTGGTGTTCCTGGGCGCCACCTATAAAACTTGTGTTTACGATGGGAAACCTGGTGGTGGAAGGAACAAACAAACCGTGGAGGGAGGAGAGGACCATGGGAAGAATGGAGGGGACAGGGGGAGGAGTTAAAGACAGGGCGACAACAAACTAAAATAAAAAAATAGGAAAGGAAAAAAATAAAACGAATAATAGGGATAGAGAAAGAGATACAGACAGGCAGAGAGAATAGCAGTCTTGATTTGATTATCGTTGCAATATTATCGGCTGTCAACCAGCGGATGTCTGCCGGCGAATGAAGAAATTCCAGTCCTACACTCATTCGGAAGCGAGAAGGAAACTAGGTTCAAAATCTGGTGATCTTTGGTAAAAAAAATCGCCAGGAATAAATATCCAGATTATGCATTCACTGCAAAATAGTTACACCACATATTGCCCTCGGAGACAACAACTCCACTCCCTCCAACCTCCTCCTTGCTGCAATGTTTAAAACCTATGCTTCACACCCATATAAGAGGTACCAAGTGGTATGATGGCGATGGATTGAGTTATGGTGAAAGTGTATCTTTTATCGTGTTATCCTATCTCGGGAGGAGGTAGGATAACCCGTGAATTCCTGAAGTGCTGATTCATCTTGCAGGAAGGCTAGTTTATTGTGCAGCCCCATATCCAGTCTATGGAGAGTAGCACAATAAAATATGGCCACACAAAAGGCCTAGGTAATAGGCACAAGAATTTGCTTTACCTGTTGCAGGCAAACTTAGGATATTTTCTTAATATGTCTTCTATCTTATTTTCATTAATATAGAAGGGTAATCTGATCCAGGAAGCTAACAACAGGAATTTATTGTAAATAGAACTTCTGTGACTTGAGTGTATCAGTGGCACAAAAGACTGACCTTAATGTCTCTTCCCATAAACACTTTGCCACAAAGCAAACTCGCTAATATACTAACATAGTTAAACAGTTGGGTATCGTTGCATTCCGTGCAATAGCTAGAGAATAACAAAAAAAGGCACAATACCATGACTGGAACAATACACAAATAACCTACACTTTGTAAATGGTCTAAGAAGGACCGAAACGTCGTCGTTATCTCCTCTCTTCCATGTGCGGGTTTTTTTGTGTATTGCAGAGAATACCTCTTCCGGTCAGCTTCACACTATCAGGAGTCGTATGTTTTTTTTATTAAATGGGAGCTTATCATTGTTATTGGACTGTATAAGTCCCAATTTGCCATTTAAATAAATTGAGTTATTGATTTCCATTCAGTAACTGAAGAATGCCTTTTCTGATCGGCTTCAAACCATTAATGCTGATGCATGTGACGAGAAGGATGATACTCTGCGAGTTTAGGTTGTATAGGTAAAAAAAATCTAAGGTTTTAAAACTTTTAATAAAACTGGAAACGGCAGTATTCTGTGCAATAAATTTTAGGTTTCTGATCTCGTTTATTAGTCAAGCTTATATGTTGCATCAGTCATCCCTGCAACAGAAGTGAACCCCTGCAACAACAGGGATCCCTGCAACAACAGGGATCCCTGCAACAACAGGGATCCCTGGAACACGAAGAATACTACTCTGTAAAATCAGGGATCCCTGCCACACCAGAGATCCCTGCAACACCAGAGATCCCTTCAACACCAGAGATCCTTGCAACACCAGGGATCCCTGCAACACCAGGGATCCCTACAACACCAGGGATCAATGCAACACCAGGGATCAATGTAACACCAGGGATCAATGCAACACCAAGGATCCATGAAACACCAGGGATTCCCGCAACACCAGGGATCCCTGCAACACCAGGAATCCTCTGTAAAACCAGGGATCCCTGCAACACCAGTGATCCCTACAACACCAGCAATCCCTGCAACACAAGGGATCCATGCAACAACCGGTTCCCTACAACACCAGGGATCCCTGCAACACCAGGAATCCTCTGTAAAACCTGGGACCCTTGCAACACCAGATATCCCTGCAACACCATGGATCCCTGCAAAACCAGGGATCCACTGCAACACTAGGGATCCATGCAACACCAGGGATTCATGCAACACCAGGGATCCCTACAACACCAGGGATTCATGCAACACCAGGGATCCCTGCAACACCTGGGATCCCCGCAACACCAGAAATCTTCTGTAACACCAGGGATCCCTATAACACCAGGGATCTCTACAACACCAGGGATCCATGCAACACCAGGGACCCTTACAACACCAGAGATCCCTGCAACACCAGGGATCCCTGCAACACCTGGGATCACCGCAACACCAGAAATCTTCTGTAACACCAGGGATCCCTATAACTCCAGGGATCTCTACAACACCAGGGATCCATGCAACACCAGGGATCCTTACAACACCAGAGATCCCTGCAACACAAGGGATCCCTGAAACACCAGGGATCCCTACAACAAAAAGGATCCATGCAACACCAGAAATCCTCTCTGACACCAGGGATCCCTACAACACCAGGGATCCCTGCAACACCAGGGATCCCTGCAACACCATAGGTTCCTATAACATCACGGATGCCTGCAACAGCAGGGATCCATGCAACATCAGGGATCCCTGCAACACCAGGGATCCATGCAAAATCAGCGATCCCTGCAACACCAAGGATCCTCTGCAACACCAGGAATCCCTGCAACACCAGGGATCCGTGCAACACCAAGGATCGTCTGAAACACCAGGAATCCATGCAACACCAGGAATCCATGCAACACCAGGGATCCCTGCAACACCAGGGAACCTCTGTAACACTAGGTTTCCCTGCAACACTAGAGATCCCTGCAACACCAGGGATCCCTGCAACACCAGTGATCCCTACAACACCATGGATCCATGCAACAACTGGGATCCCTGCAACACCAGGGATCCATGCAACACGAGGGATCCCTGCTACACCAGGGATCCATGCAACACCAAGGATCCCCTGCAACACCAGGAATCCATGCAACACCATGGATCCCTGCAAAACTAGGGATCCTCTGCAACACAAGTGATCCCTGCAACACCAGGGATCCTCTGCAACACCAGGGATCCATGCAACACCAGGGATCCTTACAACACCAGAGATCTCTGCAACACCAGGGATCCCTTCAACACCAGGGATCCATACAACACCAGGGATCCATGCAACACCAGGGATCCATGCAACAACTGGGATCCCTGCAACACCAGAAATCCTCTGTGACAGTAGGGATCCCTGCAACACCATAGATCCCTATAACGCCAGGGGTCCATGCAACACCAGGGATCCTGCAACAAACCAGGAATCCCTGAAAACACCATGAATCCTCTGTAACATTAGGAATCCCTACAACACCATGGATCCCTGCAAAGCCAGTGTGGCATGCCAAAGAGTACGAACCTTTACGGTGCATGTACACACCCTCATTAAAAGGCTATCTCCCCCAACCAGCGAACCAGGTACTAAGGGTTGATGATGGGGCCCCGTTGCTCAATGAGTACCCAAGTTCCTGCCAATGAGATGATTTTGGCAATCGCAAAGGGTTTGTGGGTACCACACACCTGTCTGCCCTTGTTATTCCCATTCTAGAGCTGGTTGAAGCACGGTCTGCTCTCTAGTGGCTTCTATTCTGCCTTGCTTACCGTGCAGTGCACTAATACATATTGTTGTACATAGTGTATATAGTGTACATACTTCTGTTCTAAATTGGTGAAGGATAAAACAAGTCAAAAGTTTTTTCTGCTGTGTTTATTTTGCTCCTTTTACACCCAGGATAAAAGGTATTTTAGACTCCTGGGTTGTAATAACCATGGGTACCTGCAACACCAGGACCCTGCAACACCAGAGATGCCCGCAATACCAAGGATCCTCTGCAACAGCCAGGAATCCAGGGAACACCAGAGATCCTTGCAACCCGGGATCCTCTGCACCCCAGGGATCCCTGAAACCCCAAAAGGGAACCCTGTAACCCCAGGGATCCCGCAACCCCGGGGATCTTGAAAACACCATGGATCCCCCCAACCCCAAGAAACCCTGAAACACCAGGGATAATAAAACAACAGGGACCCTGCAATACCGGGGATCCCTGCAAAAACCAAGGATCCTCTTGAAACACCCATAACTTTGTATCAATGGGCATCTGCTAGAAAAATGAAAAGGATGGAAAATGGAACCTTCAAAAAAGGGGGGCCCAAACCCCATGATGACACTCTTCGGGTTTCATTTTGTTCTATCTAGGCTGGAATATTGCTGCAAAATAACACCCCTTTCAAGGAAAGGTAAAATTTCCCCGACCTAGAAAATGAAACCAGAGAACTTTCACGGCGCGCATAACGGAGAAAAAACACCTCAATTACTGGGAAAGCGTTTGGGGTTCCTAAACCTGTATTCCCGGGAAACCCAAAGGGAGGGAGAGATAATAAATTATATACCCTTTGGGAAAAAACCAGAGGGGCTAGTAAACCCAACTTGCACACGAAAGTCACTCACTACGAAAGCCCAAAAAATTGGGAGACGAAAGCCAAACCCTCCCCCCCCCCCTGAAAAAACAGGGGTGTAAATAGCACGTTTAAAAGACCCTACCCAAAAAGTGTAGGGGCCCGAGACTGTTCAACTGCCTCCCAAAACCATAAGGGGGAAATTTCCAAACCCGATCCTGGGGAGTCCCTTTAAAACTGGCCCCTGGACAAGCCCTAAAAATCGTTTTCCCGATCAGCCCGGGGTGTTGGGTCGTTTCGTTTTGGGTTTTGGGGCCCAGCAAACAAAGCCTGGTTGATCAGGCTCGATCCACCAAGGGGCCCGGTCCAAAAGACCGGGGCCCCGGAGGCGTTGGAAACCCCGGAAAATCTCTCCATGTAAACTCCCGGTAAAAACCAGGGATCCCTGCAAAAAACCCGAAATTTTTTGACACCCCGGGATCCCCTTTCAACACCAGGCATCCCCGCAACACCAGGGAAACTCTGCAACCCCCAAAGGGGTCCCCGCAAACACAAGGGATCCGGGGGAAAACCCAGGGTAACTAAAAACACCCTGGGGTCCTGCAACCCAAGGATCGTCTGCACACTAGGGGGGTCCCTGCAACACCAGGATCCATTTCAACACCTGGGAAACCCCCCAACACCAAGGGGTCCACACAACATATGGATCCCCCGGAAACCAGGGATCCCTGCAACACCAGAGATACATACAACACCAGGGATCCCTGCAACACCAGAATCCCTGCAACCCCAAGGATCCTTTGCAACACCAGGGTCCTGCAGCACCAGAAATGCTGTGACACCACGGATCCCTACAACACCAGAGATCCATGCAAGACCAGGAATTCCTGCAACACCAGGGATCTCTGCAACACCAGGGATCCCTGCAACACAAGGGATCCGTGCAATACCAGGGATCCCTACAACACCAGGGATCCCTGCAACACCAATGATCCTCTGCAACACCAGGGATCCCTGCATCACCAGGGATCCCTGCAACACCAAGGATCCTCTCCAACACCAGGAATCCATTCAACACCAGGGATCCATGCAAAGCCAGGGATCCTCTGCAACACCAGGTTTCCCTGCAACACCAGGGATCCCTGCAAAACCAGGGATCCATGCAACACTAGGGATCCCTGCACACCAGGAATCCCTGCAACACCAGGGATCCATGCAACACGAGGGATCCCTGCAACACCAGGGATCTCTGCAACACGAAGGATCCCAAGCAACACCAGGAATCCATTCAACACCAGGGATCCTCTGCAACACCAGGGTTCCATGCAACTGCCTCCCAGCATACATAAGGGGGATTACCAACAGACCCCTGGCAGTCTTCAAGCTGGCACTGGACAAGCACTTAAAGTCGGTTCCTGATTAGCCGGGCTGTGGCTCGTACGTTGGTTTGCGTGCAGCCAGCAGTAACAGCCTGGTTGATCAGGCTCTGATCCACCAGGAGGCCTGGTCACAGACCGGGCCGCGGGGCGTTGACCCCCGGAACTCTCTCCAGGTAAACTCTCTCCAGGTAAACACCAGGGATCCCTACAACACCAGATATCTCTGCAATACCAAGGATCCTTTCAACACCAAGGATCCCTACAACACCTGGGATCCCTGGAACACCAGAAATCTTGTGACACCAGGGACCCCTACAACACCAGGGATCCCTGAAACACCAGGGATCCCTGCAACACCATAGATCCCTATAACACCAAGGATCCATGCAAGACTATGGATCTCTGTAACACCAGGGATCTGAAACACCATGAATCCTCTGTAACACCAGGGATCTCTACAACACCATGGATCCCTGAAACACCATGAATCCTCTGTAACACCATGAATCCTCTGTAACACCAGGGATCTCTACAACACCATGGATCCCTGCAACACCAGGGATACCTGCAACGCCTGGGATCCCTGCAGCACCAGGAATCTTGCGATATCAGGGACCCCTGCAACGCCAGGGATCCCTGCAACACCAAGGATCCTCTGCAACACCAGGAATCCCTGAAACACCATGAATCCTGTGTAACACCAGGGATCCCTACAACACCATGGATCCCTGCAAAACCAGGAATACCTGTAACAACAGGGATCCCTGTAGCACCAGGAATCTTGCGATACCAGGGATCCCTGCAACACAAGGATCCTCTGCAACACCAGGAATCCATGGAACACCAGGGATCCCTGCAACACCAGAGATCCTCTGCAACACCAGGATCCCTGCAACACCAGGGATCCCTACAACACCATGGATCCCTGTAACACCAGGGATCCCTGCAACACCAGGTATCCCTGCAACACCAGGAATCCCTGCAACACCAGGGATCCCTGTGAGACCTTTACCCACTCTGCCTGAGGTATCCCAGCAAGTGAGCACGTCTCCTGTGTTATCCCAGTGCTTAACAAAATAGGGAATAGCATATGAAGGTACAAATAAAAATGGGAACTATGGTTATAGTTTACTTAACATAAAAGGGCTAGAATACGACATATTCTGATGGAAATTGGCATAATATAACACTTGACCTATTAGACTTATTACCAGGGGGAAAGGTAGATGTTAT